CCCGGGCGGGGGGCGCCTGGCCCGGCTGCCGGGGGCCGGGGGGGAGCCGGGCTGTGCTGCACGCAGGACGAGGGGGCCCAAGCCTCAGCTGTCCCCGTCCACAGCCTCCGTGCCACCCCTTGGGTGAGCTCGGGATCGATGCCACCCCTGAGAAAAGCCACTGTCGTCCCACTGCCATCGCATCTGAGTACGCCCGCCCGGACGGGCTGGCCAAGATCTGTCTTTGGGAGCACCCAAAATGGTTTTGGAGAGGACTGCTGGGACAGCCCAGGCTGAGAGGGGAGGTAAAGGGGTCAGTGTATCAGTGGGAGCTTGTTCCTGTCTGCCGCCGTTCGGGAACAGAAAAGCCAGTGTGCAGACAGCGTGGTGCCTAACTGATGCTGAGGACAGAGCCCTGCTGCTGGAACAGAGCCATCTCCTCCATCGCTCAGTGCTACCATCACTTCCCAGGCAAACTCAGCTCCCCCAAACTGCATGCAGCCCTGCAATCGGTAGCACAGGGAACAAATTGCCCCTCTGATTTGGACGTAAACCACCATCAGTCCTTAGCTTATCAGGTTGCTTCATTAGATAATGACCAACTTCATTTGGGGACATACCGAGTTTCTCGCCGTAGTGGCAAGTAACCTTTGGGTGCGAGTACGCTGGGGCGGGGACTGGCTTTCTGGGGGGCTTGTACAGCCATGCTACCAGCTGCAGGGAGCTGCCGCCACAGCCCTGTCTCCGCTCTGAACGTCCTGGGCTTTATAACACACCCAACAGTGGCGGTCAATGCCCTGGGCTACCAGCAAGTTGCATGCTCATGAGTAAGAATTTACAGGACCAAAAATTGCATCTCTATTTTCCCTGTCCACCGCCTTAGCGTTCACATGGGGATTGTTACCCACACCACAGACACCCTTCTTGCCACGCACATAGATAAGCCCTCAGCAGACAGCCTGCGTACGTGCACCGGTATGGCAGACAAGGGTTGAATAAGATTTCAAAGCCAGTTTTGGAAAGGCACTATTACAAGAAGCTTGTGAAGAAAAAGAGGCACCAACTCACTTCATGAACGTGGCGATGTAACATGAACAGACTTTTGCAGGGTATGCCAGAGGCCAGAACTAGCGAATGTCATTTTTGATAGTGCTCAGCACCTCTCCTTGAGGCTGAAGCACCGAAATCCCCCCTAGACCTTGGAGATCTCCAGAAGGTCCATCTGTGAACAGCCAGGGTTTGAATGCGAAGTCTCAGGGCCATCTGGAATGGAGGGTGGCTTCTAAGCCCTCCTTTCCGTGCAGCCTGCCAGCTCCTTTCAGGATCAGTTAAACAGTTGCCTTCCCCGCCTCTGCTCAGGAATCACCATGTCCTGTACACTCGCATTTTGTCCGCTGCCCTTCAGTTCCCTTGTTATTCCTGGTCCCCATCTCTGCCTGTCCGTGTCAAAACAGCGACCCTCTGTCCATCTGCTCACGACAGAGCAGTGGGACGTGCATCCCGGAGCCACTACACAGCCTTCCTCCGCCAAGCGAGACTGGAACCCATCCAACACCACCCCAAAGCCTCCAGTTCGTTGGGCGCTCAGAGGATTGCACCGCTAACGCAAACTGCACCCTTCAGTGACCAAACACAACCGTCGGCCAGGCTGGGGTCACGTAATCAGAACCAGTCCTCCTCGCGCGTCCAGTGTCAGCTTCAAAGAGCACTGTGGTCAGCCTTTTTTCTCATTTACAAATTTCCCTCAGTCCTCAACTAGATGCAGCCTGTAGCTTGGTCCCCAGCACGTCCTTCCTCACGCAGACTGCCTTACCTTGACAGTAACGCGCTCTCAGGAGTCACAGGTTAACGTGTCCCAGGTGAGGCTCTGTTTGTTGCCTGTAAAAAGAGAGACACCTTGTTCACTCTAGTGGACAGCGAGGCTATTTAACGCCATACCTCGTCACTGTGCCGTGGGCCAGGGCGCGCACACCCCAGAGAAGGCACAGCAATAGCGAGACCAGAATCGCAGCCTCCCCGAACGAGCGGGCGCGCTCAGCCAGCCCGGAGGACGCGGGCTCCCGGCGCGTGCCTCCTGCCGCTCCCAGCAGGCCCAGGCCTCGTCCAGCCTGCAGATGTGCCCCGCAGGATGCCATTGTGTCTGCCAGTGGTTTTGGTCTGTGCTCTGCAGACCCCAAAGGGCTGTGGACTGCTCCTAGGGTGTCAGGAGGGTGTAATAAAGTAAAGCAAGCAAGCCAGCCAGAAGCAGATCCACTGACAGATATGCAAGATCCTGGCATTTCAGAAGACTGCACAGAGAACAACTGCACAATATAGGGGTACACTTAGGTACACTTGCATTGTGCCGGAACGCCTAGCTCCATTGCACATCATCTTACCAGTCTCAGAAACACCCACCTGCAAAAGACAGACCAGCTTTCCTGCTGGGCTAAGCGGGCATCGCGCAGCTGAAGCCAGGGGAGACATTAGATTTACACCAGCAAAAAGCCTGGTACAATCTGATTTCCCTGTGCTGAGACAACGGCCAAATGTCATTTTTAAGATAGCAGCACTAAGTCAACTGAACTGGCAAGGCTTACAATATTCTGCTGTCTGCAGCTACCCTTTAGGCGGTACAAATTTTTTCCAAGAAAAGAGAGAGAGAGAAGGAAACAAGCAAGATGAACCAGAAAATGCCCCTGGGCTAAGAATTTACAGACTGTCAACGCGAAGCGAATATTTACAGCAATATTATTTATAAAACCCTCGCAGGCAGGATTTATAATGGGAACGCAGATTCATCTTAATGCTATAGCTCCAATTGGGGGAGTTTAATTACTGCTCTGCCATCCACTGCTGCATGCCCAGCCATGCCGTCCTCTCGGCAGCTTTCTTCATCCGTGCCCGTTACGCCTGGCGTAGGAGGCTCCGCTTCCCTGAAGCCTTGCGGTTAAGGGAGCCCTTGGCACAGTGCCCTGGTACGCTCCCGGCTCCCGGCCAGCTGTGCCTGGGGCTGGCCGTCCTTCAGGACCGATCCACTGCTCAGCTTCCCCGGTTGCTTAGGGGTATCGTCTGGGCGCGCAGTGATGGGGCTAGAAAGCATTTGATTTGCTCTCCCTTTCCCCACCAGATCTGCAGCCAGGGTCTCTTTGGTGGCGTGCTCTCTGCTCGCTCCAAGCGTACCCACAGCAGGAGAGAGTGGATGCAGCACTGCCTTTGGTTGCTGCTTAGGGTTAAGACCCCACACCTCTGCCAGGTGATGTATGTGTGTACACCCAGCTTTTTTTCTCTCTCTTTTTCTGAGCTCTCGGTGCATCTTTCACTGGGTGGTGCCTGACGTACACATTCAGTGGAGCAGCGCGAACATATGGGGCACCCATTTGCTTATTCATTTCTGCTGGCAGCAGCATACAGAACGGGCATAGGACTTGTTTCCTCCCTCAGCTGAGCCCTCCTTCTCAACGGAATCAAACCCAGCACTATCCCTGTCAGGGAGCTTTTTTGTTCTACATTTCTGCTCCTGGGGTATTTTTTTCTGCCCTTGGGGTATTTTCATGGGAGTATGTGATCTCTCTTTCCCAGATGCCTTCCCTTCCCCCCCCCCCC